GTCATTGTTGTTTGGCGGGTCCGGGCTGGGGATTCGAACCCGCCACCTTAGGTGTACGTGGCTGGCGCCTTAGCCAGTTGAGCTATAGGTGCCGAGCCGACAAGTGTTCTTTATACCAAAATGAGATAGTAAATGGGAAACCTGTGTAGAAATCTGTGTGCCTATGAAAAATCTTGCTGTCCTGATTCTGAGAACTACTTTATTTTTCATTTTCATTTATAGTAAGTTTCCCTTAGTGTGATGGTAGAAAAATAATTTTGGTTCTTGCCTAATGCAGTGACTTATGCATATAATCCTAGCAACTTGGGAGGATGAGGCGGATGGATTGCCTGAGCTCACAGGTTTGAGACCAGTCTGAGCCAGAGCGAGACTTTGTCTCTAAAAATAGTTGAGCGTTATGGTATCGCCTGTAGTCCCAGCTACTTGGAAGGCTGAAGCAAGAGAATTCCTTGAACCACATAGTTTGAGGTTGCTGTGAGCCATGACCCCATAGCACTCAACCAAGGGCAACAAAGTGAGACTCTGTATCTAAAAAAAAGAAAAAAATAGACTCACTGCCTGTAGTTCAGTGGTTAGGGCACTGGCCACCAAGGCAGGCAGGTTCAAACCCAGCCCAGGCCTGCTAAAGAACAATGACAACTGCAGCAACAGTAACAACAACAAAAAATAGAGGGACATTGTGGTGGATTCCTGTACTTTCAGCTACTTGGGAGGCTGAGGCAAGAGAATTGCTTAAGCCCAAGATTTTGAGGTTGCTGTGAGCTATGATGCCACAGCACCCTACTGAGGGACAAAATGAGACTCTGTCTCAAAAAAATAATAATAATTTTGGTTCTTTACTGATTTATAAATAGAAAAGGTAAGCATAAGCCACTGACCAAACAGAATGTATTTTCAGTCTAGAAACTAGTCTTTCTTCTACAGAATCGGAACGAATATATTGCTCACCTCAAGGATCAATTGCAAGAGATGAAGGCAAAAACCAACTTGGAAAATCAGTATATGAAAAAAAATACTGAGCTGCAGATTGCCCAGACCCAGAAAAAATGCAACAGAACAGAGGAACTCTTGCTGGAGGAGATTGAGGTAATTCCTGCTACATTAGTAAAGACCTTGTACAGTAGCTAGAATTTGAGCTGTCACCCCCAATATTGTATCA